TATAGGTCCATGCTAATTTTGGATGCGATGTACTAAGCAACAGCATCCCATCATGAACAATAACTTCGAAAATATATTACAGAAAAATGAAAGCTGATTGTACTTTTGCAGATTATCCAGCTGGTGTTAAGCATTTTAGCCACACTGTTTTGTACACATGGTGTCGAATGGTTTACTGATTAACTCACCTAATTTCGTCAAGAGATCTGCTGCTCCCCCAGAAGAGATTCACCACCTGCCAAATGTTGTTCCAACGTCTTGCCTTGTCCGTCAGGAACACTTCACCATAGAAAGGCTAGAGCTCCCTGTGATTTCAATCCAACCACAATGTGTGTTCAACGTGTCATCCCTGTCATCTCAATGATCAGAGTCACGATGTATTGCAATAACCTAGCCTTCATGCAATTTTTGTATCGGAACATCAATTGTTGTTGAGTGTGAGTGTTTTGCTTGTCAAGAAGACACTGGTGAATCCTCTCTCATATATGTTGAGTCGTTCAGTGCTTCAGGGGCAATATGCACATTGGATTTTATGCCGTTGGAGAGAATGCCTTTAGAGAAGACTGCATGTTGAATTCCAGATTAGTAACACCTGCTTCTGAGAATCTTTCCGAAATGGAAACCAAAATGTAATAACCAACCAAAATGGAATATGCCAGCTTTTCTAACCCTAGAGACAGAGTACCATGAGCCCTAAATTCTATCAATGGCGATGTCCCTGGTGGGAGGGACTGGCAGCAGGATCTTCGTGTGTGGCGGCTGCGGCAGCTATCGGCCATCGCGATCCCGGCGGCTGCGCGTCACAGCGGCGGCTGGCGGAGATGCAGCGGTGAGAGTAAGATTTGCTCCATCGCCGACGGGAAATCTTCACGTCGGGGGTGCAAGAACTGCGCTATTTAACTATCTCTTTGCCAAGTAAGTGCTACATTCTTCTCCACATTCGCCTATAGCTTCGTCCGATGGCCCAGGAATCATGACGGCAAGTTTATACTCCGGATCGAAGACACCGACATTGAGAGATCGACAAAGGAATCCGAAAATGCGATGCTTCAGGATCTCGAGTGGCTTGGCTTGGATTGGGATGAAGGTTTGATGCTTTCTCTTTTCTTTCCTTTTCTTTCTTGCATGGCAACGTGAAGAGAAAATGGAGGCTTTTTGCGTTCTTCCAGGTCCTGGAAAACCCGGAGAGGTTGGTCCATATCGTCAATCGGAGCGTAATTCCATATACCAGAATTATGCACAGAAGCTCTTGGAATCCGGCCATGTTTATAAGTGTTTTTGCTCCGATGAGGTGATTTTGGATTTTGATTTTGCTTTTGTTCCTTGTTTCCAACTCATTGGTTTGGTTTAGGAACTGGCTAGGATGAAAGAATTAGCCGAACTAAAGAAGCTCCCTCCACGATACACTGGGAAGTGGGCAACCGCAAGTAAGCAAGAAGTGGACGCGGAAATTGCAAGAGGGACACCATACACTTACCGCTTCAGAGTTCCTCGGACTGGATCTGTGACAATCAGTGACCTCATTCGTGGCGTGGTATGTGAAATCATTAACTTTCTCTGTTGCATGAGCTCTGGTTTATTGAAGGTTACATGGAAGCATGACGTCCTTGGTGATTTTGTGATCCTTAGAAGCAATGGCCAACCGGTGTACAATTTCTGCGTCGCCATAGATGATGCGTGCATGAAAATAACTCACGTGATAAGGTCCGCCTCGTACTTTTCTCGTCCGTCCTCCAAATCCTTCGTACTGATTTTCGTGTCAGGGCCGAGGAACACCTCTCCAACACGCTCCGGCAAGTTCTTATCTACAAGGTGGCCAGTTGTTTTACATTCTGCTCATTGTTTTCTGTGATATTTCTCCAGGCACTAAATCTTCCCGTGCCGAGATTCGGTCATGTATCGTTGATTCTGGCACCTGATCGAACAAAGCTGTCAAAACGACATGGCGCAACATCAGTTGGACAGGTTTAACTAGCACTAGCCCTGATGAGTCTATCTATCTATCTATTTTTTGTTTTCGTGCAGTTTAGAGAAATGGGGTACTTGCCAGATGCCATGGTAAACTATTTAGCACTTCTTGGCTGGAACGATGGGACTGATAAGGAGATTTTTACCAAAGACGAACTAAGTAAGAAGGATAAGTCTTGTTGAATATCTCATTTGGCTCTTTCATTTCTTCGTTGCAGTGGAAAAGTTCTCGCTTGAACGGATTACCAAGAGCGCAGCGATTTTCGATCAGACAAAACTCAGGTGTGTGCACGGTGCTTTTAAAAGGAGCTGAACTCCGATCCTCGCAGCTGGTTGAATGGGAAGTATTTGCATCAGCTTCCGGACGAAGAACTAGTAAAGCTAATAAGCAGCCACTGGCTGAAAGCCGGAATTTTGTCACATGCAGACTCCTCGTTCACTAAGGTGTGGCTAGTTTCAGTTTCACAGTTATAATTTGTGTCCGTTTGCCAGGAGGCAGTGGAACTCCTTAAGGATGGAATTGACGTGGTCGCTCGTTCTGAAGTTCCTCTGCTCAAGCTCCTCTCCTACAATCTCGCACAAACATTAGAAAGGTTCTCCTTTTCCCGCTATTTACTTCGCGCTAGATACTGATAGCCTGCACAAACTTTTCAGCAAGTCGCTTGGAGATCTCGTCAAGGACAACTTGAGAGAAGTTGCAGAAGCTCTCATCTCTGCTCATGACAATGGCGAGCTTGCGAGCGCACTAGAGAGCGGCCGGGACGGGTGGCAGACCTGGACAAAGAGCTTCGGCAAAAAACTGAATCGCAAGGTAATAAACCTTTTCTCTCTGGCTTTCGTATCTCTCAATCATTTTGGACAGGGGAAGAGGCTTTTCATGCCGCTGAGAATGCTTCTAACCGGTGAGCTACACGGCAGCGATCTCGGCAGCAGCATGGTCCTGCTACACAAAGCAGCTCAGCAGCAGTGCGTGACTGCACCGCAGTTCACGCCTCTCAGCTCTCGAATCTCACAGCTCAAGGAACTCGACTGGTCCAAGCTACAAGAGGATCATCAAACAATCGAGGCCGCGGCAGCAGCAGCATAGATAGGCGAACACATGCTGGAAAGAAAAGTTTGGAGATTTTCCACGACTCGTAAGTTAAAATACTATCTTTGTACAAAGATCTTAAGAACTTTCAGAGTGAAGCGCGTGTGAAAGGCATCCTGAAAGTTATATAAATCTATTGAGAAGTCCCTCTGAGGCAAGCCCGGAGTTGCTCCATGGAAGAGATGGCATTGTGGCCATGGGAAGTCCTCGTCTGTGAAAGGCGTGGCCTGGTAAATCTTGAGAGAATATGCTTGGTATCTTATTTAAAGGCGTCTTTTGTCCAAAACGTAAACCCTTTTTTGTTCTCCATGTGTAAGTCGTGCGTGGACAACGAGAGCGCTCCAGCTCCAGATCCAGATCCATTTGAAAGATTGGCAGTGGTGATATGGGAGTTTGACGAGGCCCAGGAAGAGTTGGAGGAACTCCAGAGGATGTCTTATAGAAACTTAAGAGAACTTGAGGCCATAATCGAGAGAATAATCAGAGAATTGGATTCCTGATATCTAAGAGTAATAAGAGACCGTATTCTACTTGATGCCACAGTCAAATACCATAAATTAGTGAATACCAGTTGGGCAACAATAAATTAATGGATAAGGGCGTAATGACCTCATGGCCCAATGGATAAGGCGCTGGTCTACGGAACCAGAGATTCTGGGTTCGATCCCCAGTGAGGTCGTAATTTCTATTGTTTTATCAAATTAGGGTTTTAGCGGGGGACATTTTAGGGTTCTTCGATCGATTTCTCCCTCCAGGTACGCTGCGTAGGAGCTCGTCGCATCCCCAGCCATGGCGCGCAATGAGGAGAAGGCGCAGTCGATGCTCAATCGCTTCCTGGCCGCCAAGGAGGAGGAGAAGCGCCCCCCGAAGAAGCGGCGCCCCTACTTGGCGTCGCAGTGCCGCGACCTCGCCCAGGCCGACCGCTGGCGCATCGACGTCATCCGCGAGATCGGCAAGAAGGTGATGGACATCCAGAACCCGGGCATCGACGAGCACCGGCTGCGCGAGATGAACGACGAGATCAACAAGCTCATCCGCGAGAAGTGGCACTGGGAGGTCCGGATCGTGGAGCTGGGCGGCCAGGACCACCGCAAGTTCGCGCCCAAGATCACGGACGAGGACGGCAACGAGGCGCCCGAGATCGCCATGCCCACCGGCCGCGGCCCGGGCTACAGGTACTTTGGAGCCGCCAAGAATCTCCCCGGGGTCAAGGAGCTCTTTGACAAGCCCAAGGAGAGCAAGAAGAAGCGGTCGAGGCACGACATGTTTAAGTGCATCGATGCCGACTACTATGGCTACCGGGACGAGGAGGATGGAATGCTGGTGGAGGTGGAGAGGGTGGCGGAGGCGAGGATGCGAGAGGAGGAGCTCCGGAAGTGGCACCGGGTGGAGGCGGTGAAGAGCGAGGCCAAGAAGAGCATCAAGAGTGGGAATGTGGTGGTGGTGAAGTCGGTGCCGGTGCTGCTGGAGGGCGAGGCGGCGGTGGCGGAGGATGGCGGAGGAGTGGCGGCGGCGGGGGTGGCGGCGGTGGATGGGAGGGAGTTTGTGGCTCATGTCCCCGTGCCGGACAACGAGGAGATTGCGCGGCTCTTGCTGGAGAAGAAGAAGAAGGACTTGCTGAGCAAGTACGCGAGCGAGGACATCCTGGAGGAGCAGTCGGAGGCCAAGGAGATGCTCAACATCAAGCGATGAGGAGGAGATCTCCACAGTGTAACTCTCTCTCTTTTGTTCTTTTCGTTTCGAGGTAAGTTGCTTAGATTGAATTGTTCTTTGTTTTCATTGATGATTTGTTTGTCTTCTCGCTTTTGTTTCCAGTGATTTTGTCTCGTGTAGCGCTCGCTTGACACCTGCCGCAGGAGAGATTGGATTGGATTGATTCGTATAGCTCTGTCCGCCACGCTGGGAGTGATCGCAGTCAATCGCAAGCTTGCGGCGGCTGCTAGAGGACAGATATCCATGGCGTTTTTATTATTATTGTTATCATCTTGGTGGACGACAAGGCGATTTATTTTGTTCTTCCGGCCGGGCGTTAAGTCTTCCAGAGCGAACACCAGCCGATTTGTGCCACAGCGCATTTTTCTGGATCAATCATGCTGAATCATTCGTTCTTCAACTTTTGAGAGACTTTTTGAGAACTTTGTGGATCGATCCAGAAAACTTGTAAAGCGAGAGTGTTCGATCTAAAAGAACACTCGAGAAAGAAATGAGGATTGTCATGGATCACTCTAAACTTATTACACGCTCTCACCTCCTAGAGAGATTTCTTCTTTCAACTTCCTGCCTCACAAGCTCTGCCTCACGGTGCATGCCACCGCTCGGGCCCAATGCCGTAGTCGCGTCTTCACTTCTTGTGGACGATCCCCTGGAAATTGACAAATACAGGCGTGAGAATGAGAGGATTCACGAGAGATAGAGTTTGCGACTTACCGGGACTTGCAATCTGCCACGACGACAATGTGGGAGAGCTCTCGAGGCTGTCGTCGCCACCACTCTCGGAAGAAAAGTCTCCAGCAACTGCGAGTGGCGAAACCGGCGATGGCCGCTGGACCTCCTTGAGCTGCTGCGTGATGGCATAACACAGCTCTAGTGCCGGCAGCGTCTTCCACAGCTCCGGGTCGGCCTCGTTCTTGAATCCAAATCCCAGATCAATGCATCCCCGCAGCTCGTCTAGATCGGCATCAGTTAAGCTCCTGGTGCGGACATGCTCGACGCTATTGCTACTGCGCATGCCCGTGCAGTCGGATACGCATCTTTCCACCACTTTCTTCTTGGTGGATGACGAGTTTATCAAGCCTTTTCTGCGCTCCCATTCTCTGTCGTGGTCAATCTCGGTGCTCCAGGTGCTCATCTTGGCGCTGGTTTGCCTGTGGTAGCGCCTGGGAGGTGTGGTGGTGGCGGCGGCTTGCTCGGTCGCTGTTGTTGGTGCTAACTTTGCCGGTGCTTTTACTGACATTCCGGTCTTGTGCTCGCTGTGGATTGTAAGCTCGTCGCCGTGTCTCTGTCTGTAGGAACCAAAGCTGGCAAAAGGCCTGCTCAAGTGGCTGTCCAGTTCATGCATTTCCCTGTCATCGGGAGAAATGCTCCTCCGCCTCCTCCTGCTGCTGGTCCTGTTGCTCGTCGGCTCATGCCTAGCCCCCGGCAGCAACCTCGTGGAGCCTCTAGCCAGAGACGAGAAGAGGATCCCGGCACTGCTCAGGAAATCCTTGATGATCCCCAAACCGGAACAAAAGCTGCTTCTCCCGGACGACGATAATGAGGAGCCAGAAGTAGCAGCAGTGTAGTTGCTCCCCTTCATCCTCCAATATAAAGGAAGTGACTTTCCCCCTCCCTCCCCCTCCAGAAAAAACAAAGCTGCAGATAAGCTCCAACTTACACACACCCCCCAAATAGTGACTTTGCAGGAGAGAGCAGTGCAGCAGCAGTAGTAGCAGCAACAGCCCCGAGGCCAGCCCCACCACCCATCCAGGACCCCTCTGAACTACCTGAAGGATCTAGTCTAGATTCAGCACCAGCGAGTGTGTCCAGGCCCCTCTCACTCACGTACATAACTCTGTTCTTCTTTTTCGCTTCTTCGCCCACTCCCCTTTGCATCAAATCCCATTCCGCAGCTTCCACACCGCAGGAATAAAGTGGAAAACCGAAGCCCGGACTGATGATCCTCATGAAAAGAATGCTGGCCGCTGAACCAACGTGGCGTCCACGTGCGCTGCCGGGTCAGGCCAGTTACATCCGCACCCCCCGTCCCCATTTGTTGGATGCGTTGCACTTTGTCGAGTATTGTCCAAGCGGTGGATGATATTCTCTTTTAACCCACGTCGTTCCCAAGAGACTCCCGTGCCGAGGAGCGAGCAAGAGTCCCCACGGTCCGAGTTGCACGGCTAGTCGCATTCGTAACTTTAGCTTTTACGTGCTCCCTCTTGCTTGGAGCGGACGTGTGTAGCTGCCTAGACTGCCAGCTTCTTGCGCTCGAAGAAGTGTGGGGCGACGGATGTGAGCCAGCCCGGATCGACGGCCGTGACATCTCGCATGTAGTTGTTGCCAGTGAACATGACCGAGTGGAACACGACACATCGCGGCGCGGCCCTGTCGCGCACACAGATGGCTTTTGTAAGCTTTGGGCAGTAGTAGTCCAAAAGCAACAAATGCTAGTGGTGGTAAACGTACCGGAACAGAACAGATGAGGGGTGAATCAGCAGCTCTTGACCACCACGTAATCGCTTGTAGATGTTTCCTTCTCCACTCGTCTGGCAAGAGGTGACGGTCAGGATTACAACTAGCGAGCAAGTCATTTGTACCTCCTGAAGGAGACTGGCGTTCACAAAGAAGCCAGATGCAATGGCCTTCTTCAAGACCTGATGAAGCGTGCTCGAGTTAGCCACATGCTGGCGAGATTGGCCTATGATAAATGACAAATACCTCCATTTCATTCTCACAGGAGGTGAGCTTAACGCCCAGGCGCTGCATCAGCCTCCTTAGTTGGGCTCTAACGTCGGCAACCTTTTTCTGTATCGTCAAAAACAAAATGCTATATAAGAAGCACACTGAGAAAACACGTACCATAGCTTGATAGTTGACAAAATTTGTATGACACCATTGCGGTGATTTATTGCTCTTTACGAAGCCTTCGTAGACATTCAAATAAGTCACCAAATCACCCTGCAGGAAAGAAACTTTAAACTACAGAACACCCAAGTAGCTTCTCGCTTACCTCTGCCACGGCAAAACGATCTCTAGCTTCATCAAGCTCCTTTTGCCTGCCTCTACTCGATAACCAGATGGACTGCAAAATAGGAACTTTGCATGAACAGAGGACATATAGGTAACGCCTACCTGAACGGATAAAGTTGCAGCGATTGTAAGTGCTTCGCTAGAACAGCCGAGTGATGCAGATGCTATCAACATCTTAGATATCATTGGATCCTGAGAATTGCAGTTTGTGTAAAGTTAAAAGCCAATGGAACTTCCAAACTTACCAGAGGGATCTCTGCAATCTGATAACCTACAGGTGAAGTTAGCTTAGCATCGGTATCCAGAACTCCGAGCGCATACAGAAGCTCCAACGCTCTGACCATGGTTTCTGGGGGTGGTGGCGCAGGCCAATCGAACCGCATAATGTTATCGATGCCCAATGCTTTCAGCTAACAGTAAAAACAAATAATAATAAGAAAATAAAAAAAAGCAGTAAATGAAACAGAAAAACTGACCTGAAGAATAGTAGAAACAAGGTTCGACCTTTGAATCTCAGGCACGGTTTCCGCGTCCATTTCGTGAAGAAATGTGTTCTCCGTATAGAGCCTGTAAATAAAGTGATGAGAAAATGTCTAGGAAAAAGCAACTTACCTGTAACACTTTCCAGGACGTACACGACCAGCTCTCCCTGACCTTTGCATGGCAGACGCCCTTGAAATTGGTGAAACGACAAGAGCCTCCATGTCCGTGAGCTACATGAACCAAGCAGAGTTACAATAAGTTTCGATCGATCGACGCGGAAAACATAAATCCAGACCGGATTATAAAATCGCTGCTTTGAAAACCCACTATCAACAACGTACACGATCCCCTGAAAAGACACAACATGTAGCCAGATTGATATAGAATCAGCTAAAAGTAACAAAACCTCAAGTGTTACTGATGTTTCTGCTATATTTGTAGAGACAATGACCTTTCGTTTCCCTCTTGGTGCTGATGAAAAGACAAGATCCTAAGAACAGACAAACTTATTTACCAAAACCTTTCAAGGGAAGAGTAAAAAAGAGTACCTGGTCGCTACGAGATAATCCAGCATACAACGCGAGAACAAAGAGACCTGACATACGTTAAGACTTAGCAATAATAATTTGGAAAACGTTGATACCATCAGAGTCACGCGGCAGGTTTTCGGCTTCGTCGTTAAGCATCTCAACCGTTTTATCGACGTCGTCTTGGCCGGTTAAGAAAACAAGAACGTCTCCAGGAGGTTCCTGCGCAAAGATATCATAAAATCCATTCAAGTTTTAGAGCGGAAACTACCAGTTTATGAATCAAAAGCACGGTGGTAACAGCAGCTCTTATGTAGTTTTCAACAGGCTCCTCGCTATAATACAGACGTACTGGATGCATTCGTCCCTACACAAACGAAAGAACAGCTTCCGTTCACCATACAGAAGGAAAGTTGTCTTACCTGTACAGAAACAATTGCAGGTTTCAGATTTGGCATTTTATCGGTCTGTGCAATGATTTTTCGCTCTTGGCTATCAAAAACAAGTGTAAGATATCCATTGTCGACAATACTGATTTAAGAGAGTACCTCAAGTCGAAAAAATTCGCAACAGATTTTGCTTGCAGGGTTGCTGATGAAACTATAAGACGCAGCTCTGGCCGTTTCCGTTGGATCTTTTTCAAAAGTCCAAGAACTATATCAGTAGCAATCGATCTCTCGTGCGCTTCGTCAATCATTATAACACTGCCAACGGGTTTACAGTCAAAGAAGGGCGAAACAAGGAAGCATCAGGGAGCAGACCTGTATTTAGTAAGCAGAGGATCTTCCATCATCTCCTTCACGAGGACACCATCGGTCACATATTTGATCTTTGTTACGCCCTTCACGGAGGAAACTTTTAGTCGAGCTTCCGGTGGCTGCAAAATGGTCTTACCGGCGTTGTGATGTCTTCAAAACGAATTGAATATCCAACTTCGGCACCCAGGGAGACCGACATTTCTTCTGCCACTCGTGCAGCTACAGTCTAGCAAAAACAAAAACCTCATCATATGTATACCTTCATTCCGTAAAAGACGTACCTGGACGGCCAATCTTCTAGGCTGGGTACACGCGATGACTCGGCCACCATCAGCCCATCCTGCCTCACAGAGATACTAGACAGACGACTTCCACGGATACTTCAAGAGGAATGGACATACCTGAGGTATCTGCGTCGTTTTTCCACATCCTGTTTCTCCAATGACGATGACGGTCGCAGTTGTTTCAACCATGTACAGCAGCGCAGTGCGATGCTTGTGAATGGGAAGGCGATTGCGCTGCTTTTGAAGATTCATGTAGCCAGACCTGCAAAGGCAAACAAGTCAAAACATAGCTTCAGACCAGGAACTTACTGGTAGCCCCCCGCAGCTGCCGCAAGAAGAACATCGTCTTCATCCCTGTCGCCAGTAAGGACGACCCTCTCCCCTGGTCGCTCAGTTCCTGGCTTCCAGAATCCAGACATTGTTAGCAAGAATCCAGGAACCCTAAACCCAAAATTTATATGTTTGCATTTCATAGAAAAGAAAAAATGCTCGTAAACACATCCAGCCTGCAACACGAACACGTGAAGAGAAATGTTGAAACATCAAAAGCAAAGCCCACCTTGAAGCCTCCATGGCACAGGTTTTCGGAGATTTTAGCGCCGGAGGAGCTGGAACTGGAGTAAAACAAGAACTTTCGGGCCTGTAAATACTTGTGCTGTAAAGGTATGCAAACAAAATGAAGATAATATACCTTGGAGAGCAGTTTGCTGAATATTGAAAACCTGGAGTGCCTGCCATCGGCCTGTATTTGTGTTAGCTTATTCGACAAATAAAAGCCATCAAACCTTGAAGCTTCAAGCTCCTTGTTTCGAGGCTCCTTAGCGCGAGGCTCTGACGGCGTTCCAGGGAACTCGAAGACATCGAACACTCTGCAAAAATGTGGAGATTAGATGCGATCACCACAAGCTTGCCAACCTGAAAGGCGGAATTTCCGCACGACGTTCAGAGCGATTATTTCGAGCAGGATCCAAATGATCCAAATTAAAGGCAATTCGAGGAAGCTTGCTTGCGGAAAAGGCTGGAATGCAGTGTTTACCGCTTTGTTGCACTGCCGAATCTGGATGATGCTGTCTTTTGTATTGAGAACGCCCGTTCTGGACTGGAGAAGAAAATCCCAACTGAGTGCTACCTGAAAAGATCCAAGTCAATATATAAACTGATACACGTCTAGATTACCGAGGATTTCAGTTGATGGACTACAAACATCCACGTCCAGACGTTGATATTGTCTATTGACCACGCTTGTCACAGGAGCAACATCAAGCGTCTTTTGCAGCTGAAAACTGTTTTGTGAATTCAGCTGAGCTGAGAGAGACCTGGACTTCCCGTTGATGTGGTCAAAGATCTGATCTCCCGAAAAGCGATTCTCTTTGCTGACGGGAAGTTGTGCATCTTCGCCATCAGGAATCAGCTGGAAACTGGGCCTGCAATACCCTGGTGAATACAAAGTTTATGTTTTCAGTTTAAGCACATACAAACAGCCAGGTTCTTCGCTTCGTTGGTTTTTATTCTGGACTGATCGTTCAGTGACCATGCTGGCTTTCACGAAGTTTCTCAATGATAGCTTCTCCACAAGGTCGATCCCAACTACAAAAGAAAAGAGTTTTAATCGCGTCATTTGAAGTTCCATATACCATATACCATAAGTTTCGGAAATGAGAGCAGCGTCCACGTCCACGTCCTTACCCGCAATACGTTCTATAGATAAAGAAACGGAGTACGGGCTGTTGAAGGAAACAAGATCAGCTACTGAGCTATGAAAGCTTAAGATCAGCAAAACATAATAACCTGGAAAACTGTTCAACCCTGCACAGAATTGCGCTAGCATAAGTGAGATAGACTATGTAGAAGATTGCTACCTTATTCTCTCATAGTAGTAAAGCCGATTCGTTTTTTCGCTTCCCACAACCTACGAGCATAACGAAATAAATAAGCCCGACTCTCGACCCGCTTACCAAGTGTGCAACATTGCAAATAGAAGCCGTTGTCTTTCCCGGACGTGTTAATATCAGTGTAAGCTCATGATTTCCAGATGTATTCCGTCGAGTCTCGATTAGCTTCATGTCTATTCTGGGAGGAAGTTTGTCCAGTGCTTCTTTGACTTGGTTGCCAAAAGGATATTTTCGCCCAGTAATAGCTTCCAGCTTCCTTGGGTCCGCTTTCGCTAGTTTATCGAATGAATCGATTCCGGACTGAAGAAATGCCTGCAGCCAGAACCAAATATGTCATCCTCACATTAGTTTTAACACTCGGTACCTTGGCAGTAACCATTCCCACCCCAGCTAGTTGTTTAAGCTGATAAGAACTGTCTTCCCAAAGCCTTTCATGAATACATTTTGCTAGCTTCAAGGCAGTCACAGTTTCCTTGAAACGCTTCATGAACCTAAAGTATTCGCTCATACAACGGGAAATGCGGGTTCCATTTGTACAGATAGCAGTCACGTCCTGTTTCCTATGATGAAAAAGGTTAAATATGTGAAATTGCATACCTGACTCATAGTGAAATCTAGCGTGGATGGATCTCCCGACAAAGCATCATTAATCAGAAGAAAGATCTTTTCTTCTCGTGATTGAATGCGCTTTTTAATCTTCCCGTTCACTCCCAGAACGTGGTACTTGATTTTACCAGTTGTATCCCCATTTATATCATTCAGTAGTTTCTTCTCGTTTCGCCTGAGCTGGATCCCTGATACACGTTCATCGTCAAATAAGTTCGACAGCATTCAGAACTCACATGAAAGTTCTTGTGACTTGGCCAAAGTATAGATCATATCTTCGACAGCACACTTGATTGGTGCCTTGGTTATTTCCTTCATTGTGCTGAAGTCCAAATAGTACTTCGCCATTAGGCGTCCTGGCTCTGTGACAGAATTATATTACGTGAGGTATCATAGTAATGTACCTAGAGGCTTCAGCTGAAATCCATATTCATCAGTTTCAACAAGTCGAAACTCAGCCAGTTCGTTGACATTCCTCAGACAAATTTCTAAGGTAAACTATTAGTACCTTTCGGAATTAAAATTGCTCTTATAACCTTTGAGATGATTTTCGAGATGATCTTCACGAGCTCTATCGACCTTATAGTGCTGAGGATTCTGAAATAAAGAGAAACCTTCGAGTTACAAGTAGTAAAAGCTAAAAAACCATCTTACTTTTTTTATTCTGACGTATAGGAAAGAAGCTTTCAGCCACTCAATTGCCAAACTAACGTCCGACACGGTCATCAAAACTATTTCAGCGTTCAAGTGCTCCGCTATTGCAGGAAGTAACCTGGAATCGAGAAACTAACAATGGATAAGAGGGTGATTTAAACATACTCTGACTCCACAACTTCCGATCCAGAAAGAAGATTCTCGTAAAGATGGACCTGTGAAGTTATTTAGTTCGTCTCTAATGAAGAATTTAGCAAAGATACCGTGTCTCTTCGTGTCATTATAATAACAAGGCCGTTATCGTCAAATTGAGGACGGCCAGCCCGTCCACACATCTTAGAGAACAGTGTCAGAGGGAAAAGCTTGACCAATAACGTTTGCATACCTGCACAAGCGTCGATCTTTCGTATTCCGTGTAACAGCCTTTGTCTTTGTTACTAAATGAAATAAGAAATGAAAAGGCAAGAATAAAATCAAGACTACAAGTTCACTTACAAGTACTGTGTCGATTTTATGATGACTGTGTGAGCAGGGAGATTAACTCCATGCGCAAGCGTGTTTGTAGTACACAGAATATGAATATCTCCCCTTAGAAACAGATTTTCGACAAGGCTCCGTTCTATCATGTCCATACCACCATTGTGAAAGCCAACTGAAAAGCGAAAGTCGCAAGGTGATCAAAACAAGCTTGAAGTTGGCTCACCTCCACATCTTATGCATTCTTGTAAATGCTTGTCCTTCGAAGACCTTGCAGCAAGCTGTAATCTTTCATAGTGCTCTTGACTTTTGATGAAAGGATTGCGAAAGTTCATGCTTGAAGCGGCACGAGCTACTGTAGTAGCCGCTTCTTGTGCTCCCTTTCTAGTGGAGCAGAATACTAGAACAGCCTTATCCTTCGCTTCCTGCATGATAATATCTGTTTGCAACCAAGAATCATTACGAGAGTAATTATTCATCTACTGCTTTACCAAAAAGAAAGCCTTGTAGCCTCTGCTTTAGAAAAATTAGTATACAGCGACAAAGAGCTTCGCTCTCACCCTTTCGAAAAGAAAGTCGTTCTTGGCAGGAGCATAGCCTGCCAGACGAGGATATAAGGAAGGAAGTATGGAAATGCTATGACTTACCCAAGACTTTCGTAGTCAGTTTTACGGGACGTACTTCTTCTCCAAACCTGTACACAAATCAGATATCTATAACGTTCTCAGGTCATATACGTGCCTCTTCAGTGCGCGAGGCGGAACCTTCAGCCATTCACCTGAAAAATCAAATGAGTTTTTCGACGATGAAGAATCAACGTCTGTACCGATATCTTCAATGTTTGGGATTGTTGCTGAAACAGCAACAAACCGAATCGTGGAAAGCGGGCACCCTCCCATCTCTGGATACCGAGAAAGCATTTTCATTCTACTGACAACGGCTTCGAGTGCCGCACCGCGTGGTTCGTGAAGGAGGTGAACCTCGTCAATCTCGAAAAGGCCAACATCAGCGAAGAAACTCAAGCCCCCGTGATCCTTGTTCCTCCGTGTTATAGAGTCAAATTTCTACATGCGACGAATGAGAAAAAATAAGAACATAACAACGTAGAACGAACGAAGCATTTCCAGTACCTCTGGCGTCGTGAGAATTATGTCAGTGTCGGGCATGGGCCTCACATCCGCATCACCGGTTAGCTCCTGGCAATTCAATCCCAGCACTTGCCCAAACTTTTGCTTCCACTCCCTCAGTTTCTCTTGGACAAGCGCTCTGGTAGGCGCAACGTAAACCTGAGAAAAACTTTCATGAGACTCGGCATTGGCGACAAAAGTAAAGACCTCACAGTTTTCAGCGTTCCGGGGGTATGCTGGAACTGTCCGTCCGGCCCAATGGAGCGGCTAAGAAGATGCAAGATGCACAGCTCAAAGAGGACTGTCTTGCCGCTTCCCGTGGGCGCCGAGACCACCATATTGTCATCGGACAGGAATGCCTGGCTGAAGCATTCGCTCTGGACAGAATTGAAGTATCTAGAAGACAATGGATGGATCGATCATCCCCTGGCGCCTGGAATGCTAGATCATACTCACCTGAAGGTGAAGATCGGCCGAAACGTGGCCGGGAGAAGCGTCACCGCCTTGAGGCAATCGAGATCGTGCATCGCTCAACCCTAGAAATATTTTCCCGCGCGATTTTACTCATTTGAAAGATAAAGTAGGTCAGCTAATATCCGGCCCTCAAAAACTCACAAGCATGCCGTCCTAGCTCAGTTTGGTAGAGCGCGTGGCTTTTAACCACGTGGTCGTGGGTTCGAGTCCCACGGACGGCGATCCTCGTTTTCTTCGTCACTCGTTTTATGAGTGCTTTAAAGGTCGTCCTTTTTTTTTTCTACACCTAGAAGCATGGGCGGGAGCGAAGAACACGGCGGCTATGGCTATGGCGGTCAGTACTATCCCCCACCCGATCCAAGCATTTATCCTCCCCCACAAGGTGCGTATGGATCGTATCCCCCAATTCCTTCACAAGACAGAGCTTTCGATGCTCCACCATACCCTCCTCCATCCAATCCCCCAAATCTCTATCCAGCTCCTTCGTACGAGCACGATCACCACCACCACCATCATCACGATCATCACAATCACCACCACGATCACCACCGTCACGAAGAACACCAGGGACGCCCCGACCGTGAGCTCGGTCAACTCGTGAAGCTTTGCTGCCAGGCCAACATGGATTTCAGCTTGGCTGTTCGCGACGATGGAGTGGTGCTCGTTCCTTCGAATCATCACGATGATTCTCAGGTACTCTTGAACAGCTCTGATTCTTTGGTTCCAGCGTGTTCCTTCTTTTTTTTTTTCTTTTCGCAGCAATGGTACAAAGATATGAGTTGGAGCACGCGAGTGAGAGACGAGAAAGGATTCCCAGCGTTTGCTCTCATCAACAAGGCAACCAGGAAGGCTTTGAAGCATGCAACCGAGGAGTTACAGCAGGTATTCTAGCGATCGATTTTCATACATTTGAAGAAACTTTGGATTTGCAAACCCGCAGGTCTTGCTGGTGGATTACAATCCTCGCGTGGTGGACGAGAGCGTTCTTTGGACTGTAAGCGAGGACATGGGGAGTGGCTTTCGAACCATCCGGATGGCGAGCAACATCAAGCTCAACCTCGATGCGTTCCGCGGTGACAAGCGATCCGGCGGAGTCAAGGATGGAACTCCCGCGGTACTGTACCGCTGGAAGAAGCAGGAGAACCAGCTCTGGAAGATCATCCCGCTCTAAAGCAGAGACTCTACTTAAATCAAGCGTAAGTTTGGTGTCGTCCAAAGTTCGTTTTTCAATGGTTTCTTCCTCTTTCCAGGGAAAGAGACAGGAAGAAAAAATCAAACCCCCGCTGGTAAATAAAAGTATCTTTTTTTTTCCACTCCGACAGATTCGCATACGACGCCACGCATATGCTGCGATCTGTCCTTCTCACGCGCATTCTCTCAAAATACATAAGCATTTGGGAAAGTTTTCTTCTCTCAGTGGTCTCCACTTTTGGTTTCCCAGATTTTTGAGAGGAGGAAGGAGAAATCTCTCAACCATGTACTCCGGAGGAGGTGGCTACTACGGTGGAGAACAAGAAGAGAGGAGAGGAGGAGGAGGAGGCTATGACGAAGGTGGCTATGGAGGAGGTGGCTATGGAGGAGGATATGGTGGAGGAAGAGGTGAGTCCGGCGGTGGCTATGGAGGAGGAGGAGAATATGGTGGAGGAGGAAGAGGTGAGTCGGGCTATGGAAGGCCAGAGCGCGGTGGCTATGGCGGGGGCCGAGAGGAAGAAGAAGAAGCACAGTTCCACCGTCGCCGTCCTCCTCCACAGTCGTCCGAGAAGGATCAACTCGTGAAGATCTTTTGCGCTGCAAATCCTGACTACGTTCTCACTGTCAATGGTGATGAGCTTGTTCTCGCTCCAGGCAACGGATCGAACGAAAGCCAGGTTTTCTTTTCGCCTTTGTCTCGATCGATCTCGACAGCTTTTCTATGTTTTTCTGCAGCAATTTGTCAAGGATTGCAGGTGGGGATCCAAGGTCCAGGACGAGGCTGGATCACCAGCGTTTTCGATCGTGAACAAGGCGTCCGGGCTGGCGCTCCAGCACGGGAGCGACTCTTTCGAGAAGGTAAACTTTTCTTTCTTTCTTTCAGAGGCCGATGATCTTGTTAACTTCAGGTGATGTTGAGCCCGTATGATCCGGAACGCTTGGACGAATCCGTGCTGTGGACCCAGAGTGACGACGTTGGCGGTGGCTACCAGTGCCTACGACCAGTCGGGAACGTCCACTTAAACCTCGATGTCAAGGGCGGCGAGGGCGTTCGATCCGGCGCGGAGCTCATCCTTTTCAAGTGGAACAAGCAGGACAACCAGAAGTGGAAGATCATACCAATCGAGAGTAAGTTTTTCTTCCTTGGATCTTTGTTGTCTATAAATCTTTTCCATATGATAAACAGATAGTGGAGGATCGTACGGTCATGGATATGACGAACAAGGAGCTCATGGATATGGCGAAGAAGGACGTCATGGATATGGTGGTCGCCCGGCTTATGGCGATTATTAAGTAAAAGTGGGTGAAAGGACTTTGCGTGGTAAATAACCAGATAAAAAAGTGTTTTGGCTTTATCACTCTAGTTACATGGTTTTGATTTAAACGTATAAGTTTTGTTTTAATATAACAGGTTTTCAGTACTGTTCTCAGAAAGGGAGAAAGAAATGTAGCTGAGCCTAATCTACTGCGGCAAAGGTGGTGACGAGAAACGCCATGTAGCTGTCTTAAAAGTGTCGCTAACTCTTTCTCCTTGGAAAGAACCGGGAGACGCCACGCTCTCAATCCCCTCTAGATCTTCCTTGGAGAGAAACACTCCAAGAGAAGCTCGATTCTCTTCAAAGTTTTGGAGCTTGGTGGTGCCTGGAATGGGAACAACGTCGTCACCTTGGTGCTGGACCCAAGCCAGAGCAAGCTGCCCCGGAGTGCACGCCTTCTTCGCAGCTATCTTGCAAAGCTTTTCGTATACGACTTTGTTGCGCTCCAGGTTCTCTCCTTGAAACTTTGGAATGGTCTGTTATATATCATATGTGATAATCATATCGAGATCATGAATGGAGATACATACCTTTCGGAAATCTCCGTCCCCAATTTCCTCCGCCACTGTTTTCCCTGAGAAAAATCCTCGTCCTAGAGGACTGTATGGAACGATTCCAATTCCTAGCTCCCTAATAATTATCCAGGCCTAAACGTGTTATACGTGATCCATGATGCACTAAGAAACTTGATCCTACCTGCAAGTTGGAACTACTTCCTCCTCAATGTCACGAGTCCATAGAGACCATTCAAGCTGGACTGCAGTGATTGGATGGATGGCGTGAGCGCGGCGGATATCTTCCGCAGATGCTTCGGAAAGTCCCAAGTATTTCACCTTTCCTTCCTCAACGAGCTCTTTCATCGCTCCAACCTGCATGAATTTTTTTTTAATTCATAAACAGAATGCTATCGATTAAAAAAAATGGAAGTACCGTGATCTCGATGGGAACACTGTGATCAACGCGGTGCTGGTAGTAGAGATCAATGTAGTCGACCTGGAGCCTCTTCAAGCTGGCCTCGCAAGCGGCACGGACGTAAGCGGGATCCCCTCGGATGGCCATACCACTCAACTTGCCGCTGTCGGGAATAGTTACTCCAAACTTTGTAGCGAGCTGCACCTTGTCCCGAATGCCTTGAATTGCCTGAAAAAATGGCCAATGCATTGGAAAGGGAAGAGCAAATCAGCTGTGGAGATACTTGCCTTTCCAACAAGAACTTCGTTGGTATGTGGCCCATAGACATCCGACGTATCCAGGAATGTGACACCAGAATCAACAGCCTTGCGGATGAGATCGATCATTTCGGCCTCGGGCTTTAGAGGGCCATAAACTTTATGGGACATTCCCATGCATCCAAGCCCCTGCTTTGAGACTTCCAAGCCCTGAGACCCCAGCTTTACCTTTGGAACTGCCATAGCCAATATCAAAGAGAAATAGAGGACAAATGTCTTGTGGGTGATGCAACCGGAGAAGACGAGCTACTTGCCATCCGCAATTGGAGGTGAATATAAAGGCCTCCATTCCACGGGCTGTTTCGTATCCGCTTCCTTTGTCCCTTCCAGGAAGTAGAGAAATTAATTTGCTACAAGGACAAATTATTATTAGTGAAGATCCAGATGTGCATTTTTGATCCACTCTCTTACGTGCGAGAGTTGGCGAGGAAAAAACGCCATGTAGCTGTTGATTCTTTCTTTCAATCTCCAGACCTTCCTTGGAGAGAGTGATCCCAAGAATATTCGAAGTTCTGGAGCCTGGGATGGGAACGATGTCGTCGCCTTGGTGCTAGACCCAAGCCAGAGCAAGCTGCCCGGAAGTGCAATTCATTCCCGCAGCTATCTTGCAGAACTTCTCGTATATGGCTTTGTCCCGCTCCATCTCTGGGAGTAAAACTGAAATCATCGTCACCAATTTCTTCCAGCACGGCGAAGTATCCTCGTCCGCAAGTTGCAAAGATTTCTTCCTCAATGTCACGGCTCCAAAGAGACCACTCGATCTGGACACCAGTGATTGGATGAATCGCGTAAACTACACGGATATCTGCAGCCGACACTTCCGAGAGTCCTAAGGATTTCACTTTTCCTTCCTCCACGAGCTAGTTTCTCGCTGGCTATACTTTTACGAACCAATAGTTCGACGTTCTATCCACAAGACGAATCGTGAAAAATATATCAAAAGCGCTCTTGCCTGGCGCTTTTCACTTGGAGCTTGAGAAGGTCAGCCTGGAGAGAAGTATTCTTGGTGTGGAAGCTGGGCTCTCGGCGGCGGCGGCGGCATACAGCGCTTGACACCGTTTGATCTGTTTGAGCTACCTGAAGTTACCAAACGAGGGAGAAGAAAACGTTGATAAGTACCTCGTCTGGACTGAATTGAAGCAGCGTTCCCACAACTGGCAGCAATGCTTCCACCTCGCCTGCAGCACCATTTAGCATTTTCTCTCCGAAAGTTGAAAAATGTGGGTACTAACCAGTCTCCAGGAGCTTCAATATCACATTCTTGAGGTAAGTCATGTCGACATTCTCACGCCTTGCAGCACGATCCATGTTCCGGAGTTCGTTTTTGAGCACAGCTTCCTGCCGAGTAGTCAGAAAACGGTTTAGTACACGCAATAGGGAGTGAAACGTCTCTTAACCTGTTGGCTGCGTAAGCGGTTCTCACGTTCCAGCTCCGACAGCTCTTCCTGAAACCACAGCCAAATTTAATAGCAGCCAAAAACCACTTTCACGCTTACTTGTAGCACTTGTATTTGGCGCTGACTTTGCTTCATCTCTTCCTCTCTCTGTGCTTGTTGTCTTGCGAGCAACTGCTACGGGCCGTAAGAAAAATAGATAACAGAATGTGAAACTTTACACGTACCAAAATTTGTTGCTCCGCAACTGCGACTACTTCTTGTTGCTTTGGTTCTGCAGTATGACGTGAAAGAACAGAAACAAAGGCTTGGGAAGAACTACCTGTTTTGACGTGGTTTTCTTGAGGTTGAGATTGAAGTTTCTTTTGCAAAGAATCGTTGTCATCCAGAAGCTTGTTTATTTCTTGATCCTTAGCTTCCATCATTTTGTTCGCCATATCGCGAAAGTTAACAAATTCATCCTTCACACATTGATAAGCTGAAGCCCAAACAGGGAGAAAGGAAAAAAATTTACCTTCAACATGTCGTATTGAGCACGAAGGGCAGCCATTTCAGTTATTATGCTGCCGTCGGCAGGCTGCTTATGTTTCGTGACAAGTTCTTCGTATTTCTCTGCAGTCAAAATCATTAAGCGTTTCCATTATCAAGCAGTATACCTTGCCAAGACAATTCCCGCTCCCTCGAATGTTTATCCCATTCCTGCCGTTCATACGATAGAATACCCTTCACAGACTCGAGCTGGGTTGCCAAATCCTTGATGCGCTGTTCAGCATCGACAACAGCTACGTTTCTGGAAGAAAATGAACAAGTAGCATCGCTAGAAAAATTAAAAAAGAACAAAGAAATACTACCTTGCAGCCAGTTGAGTCTCGTATTCAGTAACAGTTTGCTTCAAAGTATTAACAGCTCGATCCCTTTCTGCAATAGCTACTGCTGCTTGCTTTTGAGCGTCCTACAGAAAAAATTCAATTAGACGTATCAACCGCACGCATAAATACACAGACCTTTAGAGTTTCCTCCTGAGCAGCAGCAAGGTCTGCATCTTTTGCAGCCTGAAGTTCTGCTTCCTTCTTTTGAAGAAGAGCATGAGCTCGCTGCTTGTACGCAGTAAATTCTTTGCTTAGACGGGCAACCTTCAAGAACAATCGATTTTGCACTTGTATCAGAATAAAAAAGACTACCTCCTCCTTAGCCAGAGAGGTCTCTCTTTCGGCATCTGTAAGGAGCTGGCGTTGACTATCCAGTTCAATTTCCTTCTGCCCTGGCACCATAAAAAATAATCAGATTAGAACAGTTTAAAATGAAAAGAGCATCAACAGTACTGCAAGAGCTTCACTTTTTGACACTGCTAATGCGTCCTCCATTTGCTGATACGCTTGGTCTAGCTGGTGAATTCTGTTTTGCAGTTCAGAAATACTTTCCTTCCACATTTGGCGCTCCTTTTCCTGACAGAGCAAACGAATCACGATGACATCTTCCACGAACAAATGACAAACCTGATCCTTTCGCAGTTGCTCCGCCTCTCTCCTTTCAGCTTCTACAGCTGCAGATAATCTTGCTACGTTCCCAGTTAGTGTGGCTTCGACATCAGTCAGCTTAGACTCTTTTTCCACTAGTAAAGCCTACAAGATCAGGTAAGCAAACTATCAAATTACTCAACGGAATGATACCTGTAAGTTTGATATAGTTTCAGCCAGCTTATTCGTCTCCAAGGTTGCATCCGTCAACTGGCTTTGTAAGGTGTCAACTATCTGAAGGAGCTTCAGTAAGTAGCTCGACTAAAGGCATTGCAATAAACCTTCTTGTTTTTCTGGTCTATCTCCAAAAGTACAGCTCCGTGTCTCTGTTGTATTTCCTTTATGTCAGCATGCATACTTACAACACTCTGATAAATTGTTAATCAAAGAATCCACGAAACAAACAGAAGAATTACCTGTTCTTTTTCTTGAACAAGTTTTTGCAACTCTTCAAGGTTCTCATCTCTTGCAGTAAGGGCATGTTTGACATCGTCGATTTCCTCTTTAAGTCTGTCAAACCATGTTAGGAAGTTTACCATGCAAACTTGCTTACTTTGCGTTAGAGTTGCGAAGATTTTGTCTTTCTCCGTCCAATGCCCGTATTGCATCGCCCGCCTGTGCTCTGAAGCGCTCGAGGTCACCCTGCATAGTAGCATGCTTTGCAACAGCCTCCGAAAGCTGCATTGCAATCTCGTCTTTTTCCTACAAGCTCCTGCAATGTTAAGCACCTCGTCGAAAAATCGTGCCTACCTTTTGTGTCTCCTGTATGCGTTGTTTTGCTCGCTTTTGCAGCCGGTTAAACTTTAGATCCAGTTCAGCGTACTTGTCGTCACGCTCCTTCAGCTGGTTCTCGAGGCTGCCAATAGCTGAAACTGAAACCTCAGCAAAATGAAAGAAGGTTAAATCCTGAGCCATACCATGTTGATGTTCTTCCGAGATTTTCTGCATTTGCGATTGTATCGCGTTAAGCTCGGATTCAAGAAAGCTGATTCTTTCTTGATAACTTGCAACTTCTTCAGAAGAACTTGCAACCTGACCATCCGGTAAAAATCCATCAACTTCTTTTCCCGGGCTCAAAAGCTCGTTCGAGTTCTTTGATAGCGAGATTTGACCCTTGAACTTCTCCAACTCCTCTTCCAGGAGTCCAATTGTTTTCTTCTGATCTTCGATGATCTCAGCTGTTGATTTTCCGTCAGTGCTGCTCTCTAGATCCTATAAGATGTTGTTAAAGAACGTAAAACTTGAAAGAAGAAGCAAAGTACCTTACGGCTCGATGCCTCGATCTGTAAGGAACTAACGGTTGGTCATTTATACATGCAAGAAAATGCTTACCGCCTGCATTTGCTGCATAAGGTGGCCCATTGCAGCTTCCTGGCCTTCTTGCGTTGCTTTATGTGAAGCCAGCATTTCTTGCATTTCCTTCAAAGCTTAAAAACAGACATTATTTTCCATCTTTCCGAACTACTTTGAATCATACCTTGGCCTTCAAAGCGACGTCTTCACTCGCAGTCTGCAGTTCCTTGCTCATCCTAGCAAACAAAAAGCTCTAACACAATCTGGAGGAAGAAATGCATTTACCTGTCATGCTCCACAGACAGCCTTTCATTCGCAAGCTTAAGAACATCTCGTTCTTTGGATAGCGTTTCTATCTTCTCGTGCATTTCAGCAACTCGAGAGAAAGTGTCAGAAACTTGTTGAGCAGCGGAAAGAAGCTGAGCTTCCATCTTCTCGTTAGCCTAGTAGATAATGAAATTCAGTACAAAGAAGCCTTTCATCGAATCGACTATACCTTTGACAACTCTTCAATACGATGCCGACTTTCCTCTAGCTGCCCGCTCAAACTAGCCTTTCTGTTGCGCTCGTCTTCCAGCACGTCCTTCACTGGCAGCGCCCGTACACGATAAGTGCACCAAACAAACAAACAAACAATACAATACAATGCTGGCTCACAACGTACATTGACAAAGCTCGCTGCGAAGCTGATCGATCTCACCGCGAGCTACCTCGTCCTCCCGCGCTTCCCCATTGGAGACCTCATCGCTCATCCGCATTGCGGACGAATTGACCTCTACATCTGACCTGGCTGCTTCGCTGCTAGATTTCGCCGCCGGCGAGGAGGAATTGGTGCAGCTCATGGCCGCGGCAGCCTCCGCGGCCATGGCACGCTGCTCCGCGGCCTGGATCTTCGCCTGGAGCTCCGCCTGCTGCTTCTTGAGCGCCACCATTATCTTCTTCTTCAGCGACGCCATCTCCGACACCAGGCGCCCATTCTCCGCCTCGAGCGCCTCCTCGCGGGATCCCATCGCTGGAGCTGGATCCCCAAAATATTTCTCTCCAAAACCCTAATCGCCACACTATGATCGTTTGATCATCTGGAAAAATCAAAAACAACCACAACCACCATAGTGTAATTCTTTTGTATGACTTGACCACGTCCAAAAAATATAATCTTGGTCAAGTTCACGCCGTTTGGTTTGATCCGATCTTTCTTTCCGTGAGAAATCATGGATCTTTGATCTGATCCTCCGGACATTTGGGATCGATTGCGATCATCTCGATCCTCATATTTTATTTAGTTCTTAGCAAGAGACCTGCGAGAGGAGCTTGTACCGCTTGGCAATGCCACGGACATGGTTGCAAGAACGCGGCGGGAGCGATTGGATCCTCCCATTCGCAACAATCCGATTGTTTCCTTGCCTGGAAACCCCCGAATCGATCGATTGCGCAGCGGTGCCATCACTCGAGAAAGAGGGAACCTTTCGCTTGTGACCGGTCATGAAAATCCCATGATCAGCCATGAAATTCGAGCTCGTCTTCTTCCTCTCGTGCAAGCACCAGTTGCAGAGCCTTGGATTGGGATCCTTGGGATAGAGATCGCTGCAGTATCTGGAAAGCAAAACTCTCTCTCTCAAGCACCGACAACGGAAAAAGCTCTTAGAATCAACCTGTGCTGGTATCGTCTCTGGCATCCATCGCAGGGAAATAGCTCCGTGGAGAAGCCAACATCGCCACACATGGTACATTCTCTAGCGCCCGCCGAGAATTTCTTGCCGATGCCCCCCTCCATGACCCGTGGAGGGGAGGGGAGAGGTTTATAACACAAAAGTAAGAAACAGTAGAGAATATTCTCTATGAACCTATCATTAGACAAGACTTCTTCTTTGTAGCTTCGAGAAATTCTCGAAGTCTTTGAAACGATGATTTCGGCAGTGACAATCTACAAGAACAAGGCACTGTTTAATCAATGCTTCGATACAAGTCGAAACAAACGAATGGGGGTGAGAGCTCCAATTCAGCCTTTCTTTGCTTCCAGTGCAGTTTCGCGAGCGAGTTTGGCGAAACGATCCAAGTCTGCTTTCAAGATGCCTTCCACCAGGGGAGAAAGGGCCTGAAAACCAGCAGAAGATCAGGCACAAGAAAGAGAGAAATCGAGACGCCTACCGATGCAACCATTCCGATAACCTCAGGAAGCTCGTACGAGATTGTAAGCTGCGAAGGCAGACGATAGTAAGCTCACGAAACAGAATTGTGATAGTCTTTTCTTGCCTCGACTCGACAAGCTGACGGTCCCCGGGGATAAAATCGGACTGTGCCTCTAATAGCACAAGAAGCAAACCAACGTAAAGCTTAGACCTCAATTAACGCATACCGGTTTGGAAGTCCGTCTACCGAACGCCAGTGTATCTTCTGGTGGTGAATCGGCTGGAAGAACAAGAAAAAGAACACTTGTAGCTAGAGAAAAAGAGCAAGACTTTACCTGTAAATTGCGTGCTAGCCAAGAGAACTCGAATTTCTGACCCAAGGAGTCTGTGCTTAGAGTCCAGCGTGACAATTCAGGCTGATCTTCGAGTACCTAAACAAAGTTGGCACTTAGAACAAAGAAAAACACAACTTTTAGATCACCTTGACAGAAGTAATCCAAGGCATCCAGCGACTAATCCTCTCCCGGTCACTCCACATATCCCAGGCGACAGAAAGAGGAACTTCCACGTCTACCTGGGCCCTGCTCAATCGAAAAACACAAAAAATTACTTCACAGCATGACAGAACTTCGAAGAGAGCGAGCTTACGAATTGTCGATCCAAGTTGCGGCCATGAATCGACTCCCATTCGATGGAAGAAAATCCTTGAGACTCGGCCCGAATAGAGACCGCCCACCTTGGCGGAGACCAGCAAGCCCAAAACCCCCTCTACTGCTACATATCCTGGAACCCCGTCGAACAGAACCACCGAGCGCCGCAGCCTTGGCACCAAAAGCCATACCACAGCTAGCCGAAGAAGAGAGCGCCATTGCTTGCAAATCGAGGGAGGGCGCTAACCACCACGCTTTCCTCTTTATAAACTGGGAAGAATATCGTTGGACGCCTCAATCCAACCCATCTTCCATAAGAAATCAAACACACGCTCCGTCTTGGCCGCATCAACCTTGAACAGGTGGCATGCATCGTCGCGCCTCAGGCCCCCCTTTTCAACATTCTCTAGCATAAGAACCTCTTTCATCTTTAGATAATGCGCTGGTAATAGTCTTAACTGAGAGCACAGGTCTTGCTCCTGTAACAAACGAGCAGCCAGATTAGAAGCACGTCGAGTGAAGCGAAGGCGAACTTTACCGTGCTTGACAGGAGATCAATCCCCGGAAAGCCAGCCAGGTCCAGTGGACTGAAGCTCGAACTTTTCTTCGTTGTTTTAACTCCCACCGACGGAAGTTTCGATATGTTGTTGGCTCCGCTTCGATACCTTTGCATGTCACGGGTGCCTGAGGAGGACGGCTCCGCGCCGTCTCTATTTATTGCACGATTTGATCTGTTAGTCATCTTGCTGTTCAGTGCGTCTCTTCCCTTTCTGAGGTTGGCCTCGGCACTGCGCTTTCTCTTGTCCATCGCGTAATACTCTCCTTCGGCCAAAGTATGACAGCCAGCACTGCGATATTCCTGCAAAAACGTAGGGATGAAACTTCAGGTCACAAGATTTAACTCACTTGTAGTTCTTCTATACGCTGTCGAATCTTGATCTCAGCAGTAAGCCCTGCAAGAAGTGCCTCATGTTCTTCTGATGAATGATAGCGAAGAAACACCCGACTTCTTTGAATCAGTTCTTTTTCCTCCTTGGTCTTCTTCCTGTCTAATGCCTGCTGGCGCTTCACATTTAGTAGCCCTCTTTCAAGTATGAAATCCTTCCGCCGTTTTCTTTCTTCAAGCCTGCATGGTTCAGAGATGAAACACTTACGTAAACTTCTTAGAAACAATACCTTGCAAGATAAATATGCAGCATTTGCAATTTGAGCTCGCGATCAGCATCTGTATCGATGTCTTTAAACTCCATTTCTGCCAGTGGGAGCTCTGCATCGTTATCGTATTCTGGATCAAACTCCTGTCTCTTGGCATTGTAGCCGGTTGTATCCGTTGTCGCAAGACTGGGTTTAGTTTCGTCCTGTGCTGGTTTCGGCTTCTTGTTCCCCAAACTACGAGTGCTTTGACCTCCATCTAAACATCATAATAAGGAACTGAAACTGCTCGAACAGAGCGACTTACCTTCAAGCGTAGGATTTGCTCCATTTGCAGTGTCCGGTGCTTCCTTTACTTGAGACCCTGCGGACTTTTTACCAGCAGAGACCGGGTTACTTGGGAGAGACTCATTTAATTGCCCCTCGGTATCCTCCACTTCTTTCTTAGCCCCCGCTTTCAGGCCTAAATTCATGTCACCAAGTATAAGTTGTAGTTCTAGATCGAGTATGACCAACCTGATGAAACACGCGTTGGGGATCTTTCAAGAGGTTCAGTTTTAGTATCCTCGACCCTGCAAATTATACAAACTCAGAGGTGAAAAAAGTCATGAAAAAACAGCACTTGATTCTCGAAGGGGAGATAGTGGCCTCCTGCTTCACTGTTCTTGGAGTTGATCCGTCTGGATAAGGCAGCAAGTCTGCAGAGTTTCAAAGTAAGAAATCACCCCGAGCATTATAAAACCACAATACGTACTTTTCTTTCCTTCCGTATAAGCTTTGGCTAGCGCTAAGAGCTCGGCCTTCGTTTTCCCAGCAACATTAGACATGTCCTGCAAACAAAAAAATTTAGAAAAATACCAGAGGATCAGAGGAACTGGCATACCGGAAGAGGCGAGCAAACAGATTTCATGTACTCCGTCATATAGTGCTCATAACATCGTGTCTTGTTCTTTGTACCAACGTGCTCGGCAACCTCTGCCCAATTTCCCAATCCATACATTTCGATTCCCTGCCATGATACGCGTGAGTCCAGTGGTTTACAGTTCTAGTCTCCAAAGTCTTACTTCCAAAAGTAAAATCTCCTCGTCCGCGTTCCAGTCCGGGTGAATGAGAGGAAATGAGAGATTGTCCTGACAAAAGAGTCATCCGTGAGAACGACGAAGAAACGTAAGAAAAAAAACACTCACAATGACTCTGTAAGGATGATTGCTCTTGTGCGTCGAAATCTCCACACCGACAGAGAAGCATTCGATGCACAGATCAAAATCAGCACACTTGGCACATTTTATCCTGATCATCCCCGACACATCCTTGTTGCAGTAATTGCAGTGATAAGCCGCTCGCTTTGCCTCGCTCGATCCTGCATTGCGCACCAGCTCAGCTCAGCTTCACTCCTTCCACAGAAATTTGCTGTAAAGTACCTGGAGTTGGAGTTTCCAAACTCTCGGGAGCATACCGCCGCCGCTTGGATCTATGAAACAGTCCACAATCAATCCATCCACAGCGTCTGACAATCTCACCTCTGCCATCCGGCCTCGTCCTCGACCGCAGATGCCGCGCGCGATCTCCCCATACAAAAACCCTAAAATAAGAGCCCTAATTCTCTGGGCAAGTTTAAAATGCGGGGTAGGAAAGAGTAAAATGTGAAAGAGACGAGAGAGAGATTCCTCCAATCATATTGGCAAGTGATGCATGGAGATATGTTGCAAAGTGATGCTGACTGGGATTCGCGTAAACGTAATTTTACCCTCTGGGGAAGCGAAGGCCTTTGATAAAGTTACCGGCCAAAATCACTCTTTTGCTTCATCTTCTTTGTCTAGAACTAGGGCAGCCAGGCAGGGCGGACAGACGGGGCGATCGATCGAAGGCGCCGATTCACCGCGCGTCCTCGTAATCACAGGTGCCGCATTTCGATCTCTCCTCGCGCTCCTCCTCGCGATTCTTGCGATAGTTGGCCTCCTCCTTCGCAATCTTTGCCAGTGCCGCATTCTTTCTCCGAAATCCCTCATCGCTCGAGCGCGCTTCGCCCGCATGTCGCGATTCCATGGAATTCCTCCTCCGGGCGCCAGAGGATGATCGTTCCATGTCTGGGGTAAGCCAAATCCTTTCCAGGTCGAGGAAGACGAGGGATCCATCCTCGCTCATCCAGTGGTCTTCTTCTCCGCCGCCTCCTCATCCTTGCCACGCCCCATGGTCTCCGCATTGCTTCCACCGCTATGAGCGCCAGCCGCAATCTCTTCCAGGGACGCCGCCAGTTACTGTTTTGTCTCGCTCTTCGTCCCTCCCATCCAGTTTGTTTCACCACCCTTCTTCCGCCTGTACCGGAGCAAAGGCCGATTTCCCTGGAGCTGCCCAACAGCAACACGATAGGAACAACGCTCTGACTGGAACTTCCCAGCGGAACCGGAAGATCCACGCTGCCGCGGACGAAGAGAACAGTGTCGAGGTGACTATAGTCAAGGCCAACGGTAACACAGAGACGAAGAAGCTCGTAAGTGGCTCAAAGAAGGCGTTTTCTACGTCCACAAGGTATGACAAGGCGATGGGATCTTACAGGAAGCAACAAGTAGCTTGCGGTGCTGCCAACGTCGCGCCTTGCCTCAACAGATCTTTGAGCTCGCCGATCGATGCGAAGAACCCGGCAGCAAAAGCAGAGTTTGAGGACGAGAAGTGGGCTGGTCCGGCCTACTCAAAGTCCCCACCCCCAAGCTCACTGCCATTTCCAAAGTTCTCGGTTCCCGTGCGATCTCTCTCGATGGAGGTGGCCTTCAGCAACAGTGGCGGATCGCCCTCGGAAGATATCGACGTTGCGGGCAGTAACTTGGCGTCGCCATCGCCGCAAGCGCCATGCAACTGCTGGGACGCCGCATTTGCCACCAAAGACCTCAAAAGGATCCTCAATCTGGACCAGCAAGTGGCGACTTGATTTGACGCTGCCCCAGCCGCCAACGTAGTCCTCTACGGTACAGAAGGAACTTTCGGGTTTTTAGCTATAGGTCCATTGACAGGAAACTAGAGCAGCTGATCCATCCATCTACGCAAGAACTCCGCCTCTTCACGTCTCCTTAGTGACTACTCTATCAACACCAGCAGTAACAAAACTCCCAACAAGCGCATCTCATGTCGTGTGGACACAAACAGCGACTTCTCGGACTTCTCGGACGTTGTAAGTTTCTGTGATCTTTTTGCTTTTCGTAGCTGATCTTTCTCATCGCCATTCAAGGCTGTTTGCTTTCCTTTCCTTTCACTCAGGGACACGACCGCGAGCACAAGTTGTTTAGAACCTTCGACGCTCTTCGCCGCTCCTCCCACATGTACGTCTTGTATATATAAATCCAGGTATCTATGACTTTTGCGCTAGTCCTCCGTGTTGGAAGTCAGCAAGAGAGTCCGAGTCGAGTCGTCCGTGATTGTGTCAAGCCTGAGAAGCCTGAAGTTTAACCGAGGGGCTAGCCTGCCTGTTTGCTTGTTTCGCTCACCAGCAGCATGTGGAGGGATAGGTGTTTCACGCGTTTTGTGTGTCTTGGGGTGGAGTACTGTGAGTTTGTTGCGGCAGCTTTAATTATACAGCGATGTTTTTTCATCTTGCTTCGCAAAGAGGGTGATTTCTCTTTTCTTCCTTTACTCCCTGTTCTCCTGATTGCTAGCTATGTCCTGTCTAACTCTTACAGGAAATTCCCCACGCTCTTTTGGCCATCTCTCGACGACGCCAACAGAGAATCATCCGCGATGAAATACTTCGGCGCTAAGCGACACAGCCAAAATGCTCCAAACTAAACACCAGGAATCTGAAGCACTGGGATTTTAAGCAGCAGTCTGGAGGGCCGTGAACAGCAACAGCAGCAGCGATTTGGATAAATGCTCTGCCAAGCTCAACAACAGGAGAAAAGTATTTGGACATACTCGCTTGGATCCAAGCGCTCTTTCGCTCTGGAACACTTACACTACACATAGGACGAGAAAAAAGGAAAAGAAGCAAAAACACACAGACAAAACGGAGGAAGATCCACCGAAAGAATCAACAAGGTGGTGGATTTACTCTAAACGTAAGCTTTCGTTTTTCTTTTTATTTTTCGTTTTCTTCTGATCGTAAGTTCTTACATCATGCTTTTGGTCCGTGAAGGAATCGAGCGAGAAAAAACTGGCAGCTCTCACCGAGACCCTTCCGAGGTTTGAAGGTACCTACACTACAGTCTCGCTTTTCTTTCTTAGAACTCTCTGGCTTTTCTTTTCTTTTTTTGTTTCAGCGACACTCCACTCCCAGATCGAAGCACAGCGCGTCCGACACCTCCTGCACGCTAAATCCCGCAGCCTTGAGCGAACTTGACAGAAGCATCGAATCCAAAGTCTTGGTGGATCCATTTTGCCGGTGGTGGTGCTGTTCTTCCTCCTTTTTGGAGCTGCTCGTCTTGACGCTGTCCAGCACCGACTTTGGCGACGCCCCCTCCACCATCTCCAGCACCTCCTCCTCGCGCCACCCAGCGCTCCTCAGCCGCGCGGCCACATCCTCGAGCAAGCTCGCCACCAGCTGAGATCCATCGCCGTCGCCGTCGCCAGATGATTTCTTCCAGCTGCTGCTCGCTTCCGGCGCGGCAGGAATCGACATGGGTCCCGCGTGATCCCCTGGAAAATCCCACTTCTTCGTGGCGATCGACGTTTTCACCGCTGACCTTGGAGAGATGATCGCAATCTTCTCGGGAATTGCTGCCGATCGCGTGGCTTCTGTCGCCGAAGAAGAAGAATTGGCATCCACAGCTCGATCGATAGCTGCCGAGAAGGACACGGTCCGCCGGTGATGGTGGTGGCCCGAGCTGCTAGACGAAGAGGAGGAGTTGGAAGAAGCGATGGGGGCGAGGCACATCGAAAGCGCGAAGGATTCTTCTTCCTCTTTCGTCGATTGCTTGATCATCCTGTCCGCGACATCGCTCCAGAACTCGATCCTCCTCACGCCGCCGCCGGCCCTGGCAACAGGGGACGAGCACGAAGAGCTCCCGGCGGTCGATGAATGATTCCTGGGCAAAGCTGCCAAATTCCTGGTGATGATCCGATTCAAACGCGCTCCTGGCATCGATTTGCCGCCGCCCAATTCGTAGATTTTGGCCCGCGATGATGATCCATAGCATGCGAAGCTCGTCCTCTGCTGCCCCAAGGAAGGAGAAGGAGAATCTTCTTGGGGAATCTTTTCGGCCCTGTTCTTCTTCTTCCTCGTTCCCAGCGTCGTGGCAAGGGCGTCCAGATTCCTCCCCCAGGACTCGAATTCGCGGCCCTCAATCGCCGCCGCCGCCGCCTCGCGGCACCCAGCCGGAAGAGACTTCGATCGCTCCTCGAGGAAGAGCATCGACCTCATGGGCCAGCGATTCTCCACGAAGCTCGTCGACCACCGCCGCCGATCTGGCTCTTCCTCTTCCTCCTCGAATTCCTCCTCGATCACGAACGGGAACTCGCCCTCGCCCTCCTCTCGATCATCCGCGCCGCCATTGCGATTCTCGTCGAGACCCAGGAATGCCATGTGCACGAACTCGCCGATTCCACCGCCGCAGCACACGATCGCGCCATTGTGGACGAGAAAGAGGGGATTTCCAGCGCGAGCCGGCGACGCGGGAAGGAAGAAGAGGCCAAAGACGGGCACCATAACCGGGCTCGTTTGAAACCGGTACCGCGCGGTGCGACGCGCGGCATGCGGCAGCGTACCGCGCGGACTACCGCCGCGCCAGAGACCCGATCGCTCCACCCGGTGGCCAATCGCGGCGCCCGGGATACCAATCCAGCGCGCGAGCGTGGCGGGCGACGCCGATCGCCAGTCGGGGAAGCCAGCGCCGGAGGGGACGCCGTGGGCGAGCAGCGCGCGGAGATCCGGAGGGAAGGAGAAGCCTTGCAACGCCTCGATTCGCTCGAATTCGTGGTCGGACAGGCCCGGCGCGAGAGGGATGCCGCTGGCGCGCAGGTGATCGGCGAGCTGCTTCCCGAATTGGGCGATGGAGTCGCAAGAGAGGGATGATCCCGCGGAGGAGGAGGAAGAACAGGAAGAAGAGGCGGAGATCCTCTCGGAGAATGCGTTGGCCCTCTCGGAGAGTCTTCGCAGCCCCGCCCTGTGCGCGCGAGGATTGATCTTGTGCTCTAGATCCGCCATGACGATCCTATAGAGAGGTCTCACAGAAGAGAAGAGGGGAGAATTGGGCGATCATGCGAGCGCGCACGAGAGCGTGACAAAAAAAATCGCAAGAATCAACCGACCAGCGATCCTAGAAGTTAGCGATCGCGATCGCTCTGTGGATTTGGAGCCAGGAAGAAAGAATGGAAAGAAACAAAGAAGCCTCCTTTCACGCGCAATCACCATAGCGCATGATGGGAGGACGAAGAGAAAAGAAATGTAACCTATAAGTATTAAAAAGAAGAAAAAGTGAGAGAGAGGAGAATCGAACCCAGTGCGGCTGGCAGAATATTCGCTACTCGCCGCTGCCTACTGTTTCGCTAGATTCCATTGACTTGAGCTTTGTAGTGTTGTTAGATATTGGCCGGCTTCGCGAAATTTTAAGATCAAACCTTGGAATTTTTTTTAGCTGGAAAGACTTAAACAAGACTGGCATTCAAAGTCAACAACGTCCGCCACCTTTGCTTTCCGATTGTACGAAGTATTT